ATCTTCTTCAGTGGAGTCAACTTTCGCTGAATATAAAAATAGATTGTTCAAGGGTTGTATTCCAATGAGAGTAGATAAATTAGTTATCAACCATTTACAATATCTCGACGGCAGATTGCGTTTGGATTTCGCTGAAGAACAAGAATCTAAAATTTCTGCCAAATCAAATTCACAGAAATCCGCATTGTCTAATTCCATAAACGACGCATCATTTTTACACTCGACATCGATTTATGAAAATGAATCTACTACAGAAATTTCGGATAAAAAAGCCTGTGTAATATCAGATTTTTCTGAAAAATCCGATAATTTTTCTGAAAAATCTGATAATAATAATTAAAAAGCCAATGCAATGTCGAATTTATCGGAAAGTTCGGATAATGATGATAAAAAACCCCATGTAATTTCGGATTTATCTGAAAATTCAGATAATTCCTTTAATTATAAAGAGAATTGGATGGGCTTGGTAAATAAAGACACCAAAAAATATAACATTATTAAAAAAAACACATATTTAGATAAATGTCCCGAATGGGACAGTATTGAATCGAATAATATTATTAGCATACCTATAATGAAAAATGGAAGTTTATGCCAACCGGTAAAATTGGATGGAGAGACTATAATGCTTCGAAATACATGTGCTTTCGATGCTCTTCTTCATATTACAATACACGTGATAGGTATGCATGTGCAATATAAGGAAACATTGCAAAAATTAGACGATCGCTTTTTACAATTAGCATTAAAAATTGCATCTACAGGTAAAATCTGTAAAAATGAATATGCAGAAAGAGCATCTTTTCTCATTGAAACGATATTATTTCCATCATCGAAATATACCAGACGTTTCAATTCTTTAGACGCAATGTGTAATGCTGCTCACTTAGCTGAATACACTTTTGTCTCTCTACCAAGTTTGACAAGAAATAAAATTTGCAAAATATGCAATTATTCCAACGAGAGAAAATTTACAGCTATGAACATAAATGTTGACATAATATTACAAAAAGGTCTTCAAGATATTCAAGATGCTCTTAATGACACATTAATGTTGAAACAAACATGTATCAAATGCAACAATGTATGTGATATTAATGAAAATTATGGATCACAAATTCTGATCGATACAAGTATTTTAACAGATAGCAATTATTCCAAAAATGTTAAAATTAATTCAAATATATACAATTTACACAATATTGCCAAAACTATTAATATAGCGAATAATAAATACACACTTAGAGGCGTTATCAATTATTTGGGCAATCACTATGTTGCTTTGTTATTTACAGGAGCGTCTTGGTACGAATACGACGACTTGAAATCTAAGCGTATTGAAGTATCACCCACCAAATATACAGTTACGCCGCATGTATTACTATATGCACAATAAAATAAAAATATTAAAACCTATATTATATTAAATATTATAACCTATTATATAAAACATAATACAATATTATAAATATACAAATATATAACCGATTTAATATTTTAAAAATTTGTTATAATACAAGAAAAAATGTAAAAAAAATTTAACACAAAAAAATTCTGTTTGAAACGCATAATAGAAACTACATGTAATAAAATATTATATCTTAAATAGAATATTCTAGAATATTCGCTTCCGATCGCAAGTCAACAGGCATATCGTTTTTATATGTTTTTTTTTGAAAACATATCGCGACATAAATTATCCTGTCGTACAAAACACGCTCGAAATATAAACAATTAACGGTGTCGCAACCGTTCTGCCGAATAATTATATTTTATTGAGCATGCGCGGCTTCTCACGGGCGCCTCGTTTCGCCAATAATCATCGTGATCGCCAGCTCGCGCATGCTTTCTAACAGCCGTGGTTCTGTCAATTTTGACAGCGGCCAATTACGCGTAATACACTCAGGTCACCTCGCGCAACTTTAAAAAGACGCAAAATTATTGGCGCTTCCCGAAAAGGTGGGTCTTTTGCGGAAACCCATAAAAGAGAGCTCGCACCCGAAATCACAGCCTTATCGCTTTTTCCGCCGTGAACCGCATAACGCAACCGCAGATTTGTAAAACCGCAGAAATTCGTTGACAACCGCCGCTTATTCCGCACATTGATTTGAGTTCGATTTTCTCTGTAAATTAATTAAGATTGTAAAAGTTTGTTAAAGTGTTCGTTTTCTAATTGTTTTATAATATTAAAGTCAATTTAATACAAAGAGTGACTCATCCTTTCGTGCAGTGCGATCCTTTCTCTCGCAGCGCGTTCGTGAACATATTTTTGGTCCTTCGAGCCGGAGACATATTTTTGGTCCTTCGAGCCGGATACATCGTGCCGGCATCCGCAAGTTTGTGAACGTGTCTCTTGGTGCGGTCAGTGAGCTCGTAGTTCGACATGGATGTGAACACCTTGATCGATTGCCAACGTGAGGTCCAAGTCCGTATTTCACGCTCCGTGGAATACTTGAAGAAGCTGGGCACGACCAACATCACCGCCAGTGCCGTATCCACACGCATCAGGATCCTAGATCAGCTGTGGACGAAATTTGAGGCCCAGCATGATCTCATTCGCGCGGCTCTGAAAGAGAAGTTTAGTGACAGCGAATACTTCAAGTCGGAGTTGCATGGAGATACTGAAAATCTTTACGTGGCACAACGCAGTATCCTGGATGGCTACGCTGAACATTTCCGGAAGCCAAACGTATCTCCATCCGTCGACGTCGCATCAAGGTCGTCGCTGCCGCGCATCAAGTTGCCGCCGTTTTCTGGCGCCTACGCTGATTGGCCGTCATTTCGTGATCTCTTCCTGTCCGTTGTGAGCAGCAATTCCATCTCAAACATCGAGCGTCTTCACCACCTCCGCTCGTGTTTGACAGGTCAGGCTGAAAAATTGATAAGATCACTACCTGTCACAAGTGACAATTACGATCGCGCTTGGGCAATCTTGAACAAGCATTACGACAACAAAAGAGAATTAATCCGCTCCAACTTTGCCACGTTTACCGCCGTGCCAAAGATGAAGGGAGATACCGCCGAGGAGCTGAGCCGCATCCACAACGCTGTCACCGCCGCCATCAATGCACAGGAGAGTATTGGACGTCCTATCAACTCGCACGGGATGGACCTGTTCAATCACCTGGTCATCGAATTGTTCGACGCCCGCACTCGTCTCGAATGGGAGTCAGCCACGTCAGACTCCACCGAACCACCACAGAACGAGGCACTTCTCGACTTTATTAGTCGACGGGTATTGACCCTCAACGCTGCACGACCGAGGAGTGTCACAAAAGGACCTGGAGAGGCATCGCGATTCGCCAAAGCGCACGTCACCAGACATCAAGGCACAGATTCGCCTCATTGTGCACTGTGTCGTGAAAAACATACACTGATGACCTGCAAGGAGTTCAAGGCCAAGACCGCGGTCGAACGGAAAACATTCGTGGAGACCAACCGACTGTGCTTCAACTGCCTGGGCAATCACTTCTTGTCACGGTGTCAATCGAAGAAGAATTGCCTCACTTGCAACGCACGACACCACACCATGCTGCACGGGGCATCCACATCATCACCGTCCGCTGAGGCCACTTCACTTGCCACCACACTGGCCACCTCACAGCAATGTGAGAGTCACAAGGCCGTCCTTCTTGCAACTGCCCGCGTCAAGGTCGCGGACCGCTACGGATCACCACACGAGGTTCGAGTCTTGATCGACCAGTGCTCCGAGGTGTCCATCATCTCTGAAGCGCTGGCTCAACGCCTTCGTCTTCCTCGAGCTTCAACGAATCTGTCCATCTTTGGCATCGGAGGGACTCGCTCTGGATCGGCTCGTGGCAAGGTCACCCTGGACATCACATCCGACGTGACCAACACCGAGCTTCGCGTGGTCGCCTTTGTGTTGCCTCGCATCTCACTACAACAAGGCACCGCTCAACGCGAGAATTGCAGCTGGCCTCACATCCAAGGACTCCGGTTGGCCGACCCGCGGTACCTGGATGACGACCCTGCGGAGCTACTTCTTGGTGCAGAGGTCTACTCGTTAATTCTTGAGGAAGGCCTTCGCAAGGGCGACTCACGCATGCCGATCGCCCAGCAGACCAGCTTGGGATGGATCCTGTCCGGAGGCTACGACTCAGCAGTCACCGACGGACATCGCCGCACGTTTCAGTGCACCGCCGACAACGACCTTGCTGACCTGGTGCGACGATTCTGGGAGCAGGAACGCGAGCCAGCAGCTGGGATCGTGCTCACCGCCGACGAAGCCAGATGCGAGGACCTCTATGTGCGCACAGTCACACGCACATCCAGTGGAAGATACGTGGTAAGGCTGCCATTTGCCTCACCGCCGACATCACTCAGCGAGACTCGTCGACCTGCAGAGCGCCTCCTGGAAGCGATGGAGCGGAAGGGAGCCCGTGATGCTCGGTTCGGTGATCTCTATCGAGACTTCATGGATGAATACGAAAACCTGCAACACATGGAGAAGGTTAGTACGTTTACGACAGGTTCTGGTCCCAGGTGCTACTTACCGCATCACGGGGTCCTCAAGGAGTCGAGCACGACCACGAAGCTCAGGGTTGTGTTCAACGGCTCCCAACGCACACGGTCCGGAGAGTCGCTGAACTCGCACCTCCTCACTGGAGCTAACCTCTTGCCAGCACTCGCTGACGTCTTACTCCGTTGGCGTTGGCATCGGTACGTTTTCGTCACGGACATCGAGAAAATGTACCGACAAATTCTTGTTCATCCGGAGGATTGTCGCCTGCAAACCATCCTGTGGCGCCACAACAGCTCAGACAACATCTGCGAGTACGAGTTGAAGACCGTGACCTACGGACTGGCGTGCGCACCCTTCCTCGCCATCAGGACGCTTCACCAACTTGCTGCAGACGAAGAGGCACGATATCCACGCGGAGTCAGGGCGCTGCGACAAGACTGTTACGTCGACGACGTGGTCACCGGTGCCGACAGCCTGGCGGATGCCATCAAACTCCAACAGGAACTACAGAGTCTCTGCATGGCGGGCGGGTTTCCTTTGCGAAAGTGGGCTGCCAACAACCAGCAGGTGCTCACCGGAATTCCGCCGGAACATCGGCTTCAACGCGGACCGCGCTCGTGGGAAGGAGAGAGCCACGCCACCCTGGGTCTTCGATGGCATCCTCAAGGGGATTGGTTCTCCTTCACCATACGTCCGCGTTCAACCACCGACCTCACGAAGAGACGAGTCTTGGCCGAGACAGCTCGACTATTCGATCCGATGGGCTGGCTAGCGCCTGTCGTCATCCGAGCCAAAATTCTGATCCAGTCTACGTGGCTTCAACGGCTGGATTGGGACTCTCCGCTGCCTGATCAGGACGCACACCGCTGGAGACAACTGCTGAATCAACTTCCGTTGCTGGATCACATCCGTGTGGATCGTTGGCTCAGCACCGGAGATGACCAGTCGCAACTGCAGCTCCATGGGTTTGCCGATGCATCGGAGCGAGGATACGCCGCCGTCGTATACATCCGCAACGCTGCAACAGAGAAGACATCAATTAATCTGCTGATGGCAAAATCGAAGGTCGCACCAGTCAAGCAGGTGTCGTTACCTCGATTGGAGCTTTGTGCCGCCGCATTACTCACCACGCTCATGTTGCATGTACGCACTACCCTCGGCTTGGCTGCTACGCCGGTGCACCTGTGGTCCGACTCCAAGGTCACTCTTCACTGGATTCGCGGACACTGCACCCGCTGGAAGACCTTTGTTGCCAACCGAGTGTCGCAGATCCAGACCCTGCTTCCAGACGCTCATTGGAGACACGTCGCCGGACGAGAAAACCCTGCAGATTGTGCATCGCGTGGTGTTACACCTGAGGACTTACGCAATCATAAACTGTGGTGGACAGGACCTACCTGGCTGTCAGGAGACGAGGCTGCCTGGCCTGGTGCAGACATCGACGTCCCAGAGGATGACCTCCCTGAGCAACGAGTCACCAGCCTGGTAGTCAAGGCGCCAGTCATTACCGAACCGGACCTTCTTCTGCGGTTCCCGACGCTGCAACGGCTGCTGCGAGTCACTGCGTGGTGTCGTCGATGGCTCAACCCGGTGAGACGTGACGCCAGACCTGGCTGTCCATTGCAGCCTGACGAGCTGGACTCCGCGCTGTTTCGATGGCTGCGAGTGGTGCAGGCGCTCCATTTTCCGACGGACGTAGCCGCGGCCTCTGCTGGACGCACTACTCCACCGCGAAGCCACCTGGTAAAGTTGAGTCCGTTCCTCGACGATCAAGGCGTACTGCGCGTCGGAGGACGTCTCAAAAACTCTCAACTTCCGCTCGACGAGAAACATCCGATGATCATCCCGGCGGCATCCTGGCTGACTCGGCTGGTGATCGATTCCTGCCATCGACGAACACTGCACGGGGGTGTGCAGCTGACACTCGGCCTGCTCCGCCTGCGCTTCTGGGTGCCTCGAGGAAGAACCGCCGTCAAGCAGCAGCTACATCGATGCGTTACCTGCACTCGATGGCGTGCTGCCACGCCACAGCCTCAGATGGGTAACCTTCCTCGGGACCGAGTAACGCCAACCCGACCGTTCCTCAGCACCGGCGTGGATTACGCAGGACCCATCCTCCTTCGGACCAGCAAGGGACGTGGACACCGTGCGCATAAAGGGTACATCGCAGTCTTCATCTGTTTCTGGTCGAAGGCCACTCACTTGGAGGTCGTCTCCGACTACACCTCCGAGGCTTTCATCGCCGCTCTGCACCGCTTCGTCTCCCGCAGGGGCCTCTGTGCTGAGATCTACAGCGACTGCGGCACGACATTCATCGGGGCAGATCGTACGCTGCGAGGTCTCTTTGATGCAGCGACAGCCGAAGGTCATCGTATCGTCCTTGCCGCCACCGCTCAAGGAATCCGCTGGCACTTCAACCCGCCAGCGGCCCCGCACTTTGGTGGTCTTTGGGAGGCTGCAGTGAAGTCGACCAAGTTCCACCTCCGTCGGGTGATCGGCGAGACCACCCTCACGTTCGAGGAGCTGAGCACACTCCTCGCCCAGATCGAAGCTTGTCTTAATTCTCGTCCATTGCAGGCACTCTCAGATGACCCAGAGGACGTCTCTGCGTTGACCCCCGGTCACTTCCTCGTCGGGGCGCCGCTACTTGCTGTGCCGGAACCGTCATTGACAGGGCAGACGGTACCCACCTTGTCACGCTGACGTCATTTGCAGCAGATGAGGGATCACTTCTGGCAGCGATGGTCATCCGAATATTTGCACGGACTAGCCTCACGCACCAAATGGCTCAAGGGAGAAGCTGCACCCCACGTCGGTGACCTCTGTCTCGTGCGCTCCGAGCTCACCCCACCGAGCCGATGGCCACTGGCTCGCATATCGCGACTTCACCCCGGGGACGATGGGATTGTACGCGTGGTGTCAATCCGAACGGCCACGTCCGAGCTTGTGCGCCCACTCGTCAAGCTTGTTTTCCTCCCGGGCGTGAACGACGCACCTACACCGCACACTGACACTTCGTAACGTCACACAATCATCACTTCATGCATCATAGCATCTGTCGCACGTCACTCATCTCATCCACCACCGCACAAAAAGAAAAAAAAATTATTTCGTTATCACCGCTCACTGCATTACACACTCGCCGTTCACATCAACCACGCGTTGTCACCGGATCAGCTGATTATTTCACACCACGCGTTTACCACGTGCTCTCATCGGCTCAGCTGATCGATTCACACCACGCGATCACCACGTGTATTTCGCCGCGCCGGCGCGCTCGCCCCACCATCGATCGCTATCGACTTGCGATTCCGCGACCGAAATACCATAAACATGTTGTCACTGCGCGACAAGGCGGGCGGGAATGTTTGAAACGCATAATAGAAACTACATGTAATAAAATATTATATCTTAAATAGAATATTCTAGAATATTCGCTTCCGATCGCAAGTCAACAGGCATATCGTTTTTATATGTTTTTTTTTGAAAACATATCGCGACATAAATTATCCTGTCGTACAAAACACGCTCGAAATATAAACAATTAACGGTGTCGCAACCGTTCTGCCGAATAATTATATTTTATTGAGCATGCGCGGCTTCTCACGGGCGCCTCGTTTCGCCAATAATCATCGTGATCGCCAGCTCGCGCATGCTTTCTAACAGCCGTGGTTCTGTCAATTTTGACAGCGGCCAATTACGCGTAATACACTCAGGTCACCTCGCGCAACTTTAAAAAGACGCAAAATTATTGGCGCTTCCCGAAAAGGTGGGTCTTTTGCGGAAACCCATAAAAGAGAGCTCGCACCCGAAATCACAGCCTTATCGCTTTTTCCGCCGTGAACCGCATAACGCAACCGCAGATTTGTAAAACCGCAGAAATTCGTTGACAACCGCCGCTTATTCCGCACATTGATTTGAGTTCGATTTTCTCTGTAAATTAATTAAGATTGTAAAAGTTTGTTAAAGTGTTCGTTTTCTAATTGTTTTATAATATTAAAGTCAATTTAATACAAAGAGTGACTCATCCTTTCGTGCAGTGCGATCCTTTCTCTCGCAGCGCGTTCGTGAACAAATTCAAAAAAAAAAAAAATACAAAAAGACAAAAACAAAAAAAACAAAAAAAAAACAGGAACCACAATCTCGTCACGTCCACGCCGTGGTTCTGGGTTACGCTAAGAACGAGATAAAAACTCCTTAACAATACGCGTTCATTATGATAAATAATTTTGAAAATCCATAAATATTAATGATAAAAAGTCTTATATTTACATTTATACGTTTGACGTCTTAGGCAATTTAAATTGTGGTGTGTGTGTGTGTGTAGTGTGTTAGTTTCTCATAAATATTTTGATAACTTTTTCACATAGAACATTCTAAAAATTAAAAATATGCAGATTGTCGTAAAATATTAATTCAAATCGATAAAACTATCGAAATATGATCAGTTAGTTAATATACCCGAAAATGCATTTCTCGGCCAAAAATAATTAATTAAAATAATTTTTATGTGTCTGAATTATCAGACCTCTTCGGAATTGCATTATACATGCCCATGACTATACCAGAACTGCTATAGAAAAAACAGAACTCTCGAAAATCGACTGGCGTCTCACCATCAGAGTCGAAAATAGGCGTTTTTCGGGTAAAATAATTAATTAAAATAATTTGTAAGAGTTTTAATTATCAGAACTCTTTGGAAACTCATTGTACATGACAAATACTATAGGAGAACTGTTTTAGAAACAACAGAACTCTCGAAAATCGACTGGCGTCTCACCTTTAGAGTCGAAAATAGGCGTTTTTTGGGTAAAATAATTAATTAAAATAATTTGTAAGAGTTTCAATTATCAGAACTCTTTGAAAACTCATTGTACATGACAAATACTATACGAGAACTGTTTTAGAAACAACAGAACTCTCGAAAATCGACTGGCGTCTCACCTTTAGAGTCGAAAATAGGCGTTTTTTGGGTAAAATAATTAATTAAAATAATTTGTAAGAGTTTCAATTATCAGAACTCTTTGGAAACTCATTGTACATGACAAATACTATACGAGAACTGTTTTAGAAAAAACAGAACTCTCGAAAATCGACTGGCGTCTTACCTTTAAAGTCGAAAATAGGCGTTTTTCGGGTAAAATAAGTAATTAAAATTATCTTTTATTCTTTTAATTATCAGAACTCTTTGGAAATTCATCGTACATACCCAGAACTATCGCAGAACTACTTTATAATAATCAGAACTCTCGAAAATCGACTGGCGTCTCACTTTTAGTGTCGAAAATAGGCGTTTTTCGGGTGAAATAATTAATTAAATAATTTGTAAGAGTTTTAATTATCAGAACTCTTTGGAAACTCATTGTACATGACAAATACTATACGAGAACTGTTTTAGAAAAAACAAAACTCTCGAAAATCGACTGGCGTCTCACCTTTAGAGTGGAAAATAGGCGTTTTTCGGGTAAAATAATTAATTAAAATAATTTGTAAGAGTTTTAATTATCAGAACTTTTTGGAAACTCATTGTACATGACAAATACTATACGAGAACTGTTTTAGAAAAAACAAAACTCTCGAAAATCGACTGGCGTCTCACCTTTAAAGTGGAAAATGGGCGTTTTTTGGGTAAAATAATTAATTAAAATAATTTGTAAGAGTTTTAATTATCAGAACTCTTTGGAAACTCATTGTACATGACAAATACTATACGAGAACTGTTTTAGAAAAAACAAAACTCTCGAAAATCGACTGGCGTCTCACCTTTAGAGTGGAAAATAGGCGTTTTTCGGGTAAAATAATTAATTAAAATAATTTGTAAGAGTTTTAATTATCAGAACTCTTTGGAAATTCATCGTACATACCCAGAACTATACGAGAACTACTTTATAATAAGCAGAACTGTTAAAAATTGCCTGGCGTCTCCCTTCGACATCTATAGATACAGGTATCCGATTATCTTAATTTTGATTTAATTAATATTTTCTGCTTTTAGAAGGTAGAACTCTTCTTAGAACTCATGTAGAACTATAGATCTTTTCATTTCTGATCATTTCTGATACGGAAAATGTCGTAGGACAAAGTTAGACGCTGCGTGAAGTTGGCGTCTCACTTTGCACTAAGCAATTTTTTGGCTTTAACGAGCAGAACTATGTGTTTTACCTATCAGGAACTCTAAAACTATTAAAAAGGAAGTCAGAACTCTCAAAATATAATGAGTTTCCGCAAAATGATACGCCAACTTCACACACACGGGAAAGGAGATGGAGAAGGATAGTGAGGTTTAAAATGAACAATGAGATGAAAGGGGCGAGATACTGGGAAGAGGAGGAAAAAAGAAGATGTAGGCTATGTAGGATGGAAGATGAAACATGGGAACATGTAGTAGGAGAATGTGAAGAAGAGGGGACTAAGGGAAACTGGTAGGAAAGAATGAAGGAAATACTGCAGGAAGGAGGAGAAGGGGAAGGATGGATAAGAGAATTAGAGAAAAAGAGGGAGGAGGGGAGAACGGGAGGAGAAGAGGAAGGAGGGGTAGAGGAGAAAGGAAATATGAGAATAAGTGGAAGTATGAATGAGGTGGTGGGGAATGTATGGGGAACTGGAAGCCGAGGCGAAGCGAGATAATAGATAGGGACGACTCTTTCTCTCTCTTATTTAGTTAGATAAGTAGATTAAGTTAAAATTAAGATAATTGTAAGTTAGATATAAGAGTAGATGTAAGAGTAGTTGTAAGTTAATTTTGTAAGAGGTATGTAAGGTTTGGGTACGCTCCTTAAAAGCGCCTTTAATCCTCAAGGGAAAAAATAAAGCAATGAATCGAATATATTTTGTATCTTATTGTGGTAGATATTATTTTTATTGTGGTAAATATTAATCAGTAAAATTCTTATAAAATTTTTCCAATACCATATTGTCCCACGATTATCATGATTTTCAGGGTAAATTCTAAGAGAAAATTTTCTGTGTATTACAGACTTCTCGATTCTTATTATTTAAAAATAATTTCCATTTTCCTACATATTTATTGACAACTGAAAAAAGTCACACGCATTATACGCGCATAGCGCGCACATTGTGTGTGACTCTTTAGGTTGTTCATGCTAAACGCGCTCCTCCTAACGCTTGGTCGGCGCGCCTAGTATCGCGTAACATGGGAGGTTCTTTTGAGCCGCGCACTCCTGCCGAGCGCCGATTGGCTGATCTTTAACAATTAATATCTCATTGATTATTGCGAAAATCGCAAAATGGTACAAGACTTTTTTACTCACAAGGGGACACTACACCCAGTACATCAAGAATCAGGATGCCAATTTTTTTGGTGATTCTAGAGGTCAAAAAAAGGTATACGTGTTTCGGCGTTTTGTCGAATGCTCCGTAGTTTTCGAGTAAAAAATTTTTAAAAAATCGAAAAGTGCAGCAGCGATTAAGAGCTAACTCGTAGGTCGCAAGTTCGAGTCTGTGTCTTGTTACTTTTTTTTGTTTTATCTTACTAGTTTTGAAAAAGTGTTGTTGTTTAAATATATTTAAATATATATAATGTGTAATGACAAATATAATTTAAATAAAAATAAGATATAAAAACAAAATATTTGAAAAAAAAATTTTTTATTGTAATAATTTAATTAAATAAATAAATAAATATATTTAAACAACAACACTTTTTCAAAATTAGCAAGATAAAACAAAAAAATAGTAACAAG